TGGAATCTGCAACGACAACGAAGAGGACGAGGAGGAAGAGCCGAAGGCGAACGAAGGGGAGAGTGATGGAAATAGGGAGAGGTTTTGGGAGATACAGAACCATCTTTTGCAAGCCACGCTGTGTAGGAGTAGCTCTTTAGAATCGAGGATTAGAAACGCCGTTGAAGAAGCTTTGAAAGAGATTGGGAGAGAAACCACAGTTTGTGGTTGTGGGAAATCGTTAACGGCCGAGCATTGCCGGAACTGTCTTATGAGAGAAGTCTTTAGCCGTCTCCAAAACGCCGGTTTCGACGCTGCCGTTTGCCACTCTAAATGGAGAAGCTCTCCGCATATCCCATCAGGTAAAAAGTATATTTGGGTAAACTAAACATTTAATATCTAAATTATCAATTTGTAGTCTATTTTAATAATTAAATTTAACATGTTTAGTACCTAAACTATCAATTGTGATTATTTTAGTACCTAAATTTTAAAAGAAATCAAACTTTATCGTTAAAATTTGAACACATATACTAAAATGAAATAAAAATTAAATTTTAGATATGATTTTTAAAAAAAGTTTAGGTACTAAAATGGATCAAAATTAATAGTTTAGGTACTAAATACATAACTTATCCAATATATTTCACAATAATGCAAATTCAATCATTTACACCCTCTATTTTTTTAAGTGTATTTTCAATCGAGAGATGCACATTATTGTACTACAAGGTATGGTATTTGTCAAGTTGTACAAAATTATCACGGTATATACAATAAAGGCAGATCTTAGTGCTAATTTTTGGAGAGGTCAAATTAAATTTTTAAAAGATTTAAAGGGGAATTATGACAATTTTCCAAAAGAAAATAGAGTTCCGATCAAAGGTTTTTTTTTTTAAATTAAGAGGTTTAATGAGAAATTGAAAAGAAATTTTGGGGTGACAAACTAGAATATTTAAAAACTTTTAAGTTGAAATGATTTTTTTAAGACCAAATTAAAATTTGTAAAACTTGTTAAAGGGCTTAAAGAACATTTCTCAATTTTTGTTATTGTATGTTAATTTCGAGAATGAACACACACATTTTCAAAAAAAAAAAATAGACTTAAAAACGACCAAGTTACAGAAAGTACTAAATCTATCAAAAACACATATTAAATCATGTTTTATACAATTTGACCCAAATTCTCTCTTCGCTAAAATTGGTCTGTATTTTGCGGGAGAGCATAGTTTCTTGGACGTGATAGAAAATTCAAGGAAACGTGACGTAAGGATAGTCATAGAGTTGAATTTCAGGGCCGAGTTTGAGATGGCAAGAGCAAGTGAAGATTACAATCGTTTAGTTCAACGGTTGCCGGAGGTTTTCGTCGGGAAAGTAGAAAGATTGAATAATGTAATAAAAATCTTATGTTTAGCTGCCAAGAAATGCATGAAGGAAAAGGGGATGCATATGGGGCCATGGAGGAAGCAAAGGTACATGCAAGCCAAGTGGCTAAAATCTCGCGAACGGAATTCATCGACGAAATTGCTGCCGGTGTGGGAAGTTCCAGCCATTTGCCGAAGCATAAGGCTTCTATGCTAACAGTAGATTTGCTCGATAAGTTGTCCGATGTTTGCTGTAGAGCAGTTGAGGTTGTATAAAGATTGTGATATATATGTGTATATATAAGATTTTGTCCTTAATTTGTATCTTTAACTCGGATATGAACTTTGTGTGTTCGATAACGAGTGAAGATAAAAGAACATGAGAAAATGGAAAGGAGAAATCCAAACAGAAGCTCAAAGCAAACATTTACAGGAAAGAAATTTTTAAGTTCATAAGAAAGCAAAGCACCAATCACAATCAACAAATTTTAGAGGCCTCCGAATCTTGTAGTTGGTCGGCTTACATTATTACCAAAGCCTCAGGTACATAATCTACATTGGAAGAGAATGAGGGTAATGGTGAAGTTGCATCGATGAGCCATCACCTCCACAGCTCTTCCATTGGAATCCCCCGTTCTTCAGAAACCTCTCGGAACTGCTTCATTTTCTGCACAGCAACAACTGTGGCTCTAGCATTGTTAAGGGCAATTTTACTTCCGAGTTGCTTGCCCAGTGCATTCTCTACGCCTGCCATTTCAAGAACAATTCGCACAGCTCCTCCTGCAATCACTCCTGTACCGGGTGCAGCTGGTCCGAGAATCACCGTCGCCGCCCCGTAATCACCCTCCGATCTGTCAGCCATTTCCCAATGACATCAATAAAATGCATATCGAAATGCCATCTTTCTTTCACCATTATGTTAGGCTAATCAAGCAAGCAACCATGGCAATATATGATCCTAGTGAGTTATCTGGAACAGGTATGACAGTTTTCCCACATGAATTCTATCTACATTTCAACATTATGAAGCCCCCATATCTTCAACTTATAGCAACCGCAAAGTATCGTGGGCTACAAATACTTCAACCAGTTTGCCATTCTTGATTACAAGAATTACAGCAGCATCATTCATAGTTCAGTTCAAGTTCAGCAGATAATTCCAAGACCATAAAATCCACATATCACAACACACAATCGCCATGCAGGAAGAGCTCAAAAGACCACATTCAATGGATAAAAACAAGTTCACTGCATATACATTTCGAAAAAGCCACATTCTTAAGTTCAACAAACTAAAAGATCAACTCATCACCTTCGCAAAATGGATACACACTAACCAACCGGAAAACCGAGAATCACCGAGTAACCTATTTTACTCATATCCTGGACAAGTATATGTGTATGTACCAAACACGAACATCATATGCTAGTACATTAAAGGAAAAAAGAATCCATTTTATATCCCAAGAAAGGAAAATTACTCTTCCACCAATGAAAGAACAATTGCATCATTTAAACAGACTAAAATCACATCCTTTTCAGCAAAAATATGTGAATGGGAGCAATCGACCAAAACCAGGAACCAAACTCATTACCGATGTGGGAAAGTCAAATACTTTGTCATGGGAATTGCAATGATATTCCTTCGAGCATTCGTAGCTGATTTCTGAACAGCATCGATAACCTCCTTGGCTTTCCCAACACGGACACCAACTCGTCCTTGCTTGTCGCCAACTACAACAATTGCTCTAAAATGCAGCTGTTTCCCACCCTTAACCACTTTAGTAACCCTCCGAACTTGAACCACTCTTTCCTCAAACCCATCCTTTGTTTTCTCTTTCTTAACTTTCCCAAACGCACTCGTCCTTTTCACTTTGGAATCCATCACGTAAATATCGTTGCTCAAAACGGACACACCGCTGTACGCAAGGACGTATAGTTCCTCGTAAGCGGCGGCGATCTCGTACTCAGTTTCCTCGGGACCGTCGTCGAAAGCAGGAGGCGAATTAACCCTTCCGGCGGCGTTGGTGGGTCGAAAACGACGTTTTCTTCGGGGTCGAGTCGTCGAAGAAGGAAGTGTCGATGTCGGAGGCTTTGGATTTGGGTGCGATGGAGAGGGAGCGGAATGGAGGGCCGAGAGAGAAGAATTCCGAGGGTTTGGGGAAGAAGAAGGATAAGGAAGGGATGGGGGAGCGAATTTTGAAGGAATAGAGAGTCGAAGCTATTGCTGCTGCTGGTGGTGCTGCCGCCATGGTTAAGGCTAAACGAGCGAAATGACAGTGAAAGCTTATCTTTCCAAAAGAATAACAGTGTAGAACCGGGTTGGGGAGACGATGTAAGACGCTACCCGGAAATGGACCGGGTATTTTCCAATTCGGTACCACCCGACGCTGGCAAAACAAATGTATATTTGTTCACGGAGAATTCATATTTCCCCATATTTACACATTAACTCAATTTCATACTTATTTTAAAAAGCCTTAAATATAAGATAAAAAATTTAAAGTAGACCGTTTTCACGAATTGGAGATTAAATTATTTTTTAAATCATTCAACTGCTTAACGATATAAATATTATCGTTTTAAGTGTTTCAATCGTAATAATTATTATAAATTCTGTTAAATGACACGTATCATAATTTTAAAATTTAAAATTTTTATTTTTCTTTAAAAGTAAAAATATTATTAAAAATAAAATAAAAAAACCCTTTTCCTAACCCGCGTTCCACCCCTCTCCCTCTCTTGCTCCTCGGCCTCTCATGCTTTCATGGCTTTTCCATGGCCAAATGGTTGATTAAACGGTCTACCAAATGGTCGACTGTCACAACCGACTATCACAATTGACTAATTGAATTTAAGGGATTGAATATTTAAAATTTTAGAGATTAGAGATTGAAATGTAGGGATTTGAGAATTTTAGATTTTGAGATGATAGTAAGGGTTGTGGCCGATCAGTGGGTGATCGGTGATGTATGTGTGGTCAGTCGTCGAAAAATTGGTGGCAGAGATAATCAACGGTTAGAGAAAATGAGAATAGAATAAAAGATTTTAAGAGTTTGAGAGTTTTTTGGTATTTTAGAAAATAATTGGGACTTTTTAAAAAAATAACATATTTTTAAACTTTTTTTAAAAATTTTCTAAAATTACTAGATTATGAGACGTTTCATTTAACGAATTTCTTAACGGCTGTTAGAATCGAGACACCTAAAGTGATAACGTTTCTAACAGTAAGCATCTTGATGATTTAAAAAATAATTTGGGCATCAATTAGTGAAAAACGTTATAGCTTGAACATTTATTTTATATTTAAGCCTTTTTAAAAAATCAATGCATAATTTAAGTATTTTTTTAAACGTTGAAAGTTAAATTTATTAATTTATTTAGAATTAGGATTAAATTGAATAATATATAAGTGTTGAGTGCGTGTTATCATGTAAATCAAGATCTTGTAAAATTGATGAAAATATTTATTTTTTATTAATTATATTGTTAATCTTAATTTCTCAATTTGAAAATTCAAAATGATTCAGTTGCTCATTTTCATTAGAGGGACTAATTTGCCAAATTTTAAAATTGAGAGAGACCTAAGGGGTCTTTGTACCATATTTTTAGAATAAAATATGGCCCAAAAACTGACAATGACCTATTAAAAGTTAAAACCCAATAGTGGCCCAAAGAGATGGCTTAATCAATTATCATCTTCGAAGCACGCGCGTGAATAAGTTAGCGGGGAAGGGCCTTCGTCGAGGTGAGCGATCGACGGCCAGATGCCAAAACACGGATAAAGCTCACGCGCAGCTCAGAAATTCGTATCACTACTTTCACCATTCGGGTCTCAGCGTTTCAAATTGCCGAGGAGCTCGGCCACCGATGTCTCTGACAACATCCACCGCCATCTCACGCGCCGTGAAATACGACGAAAGCCGCGGCGCCTCGACCGCCGAACGAGAAGTTAATAGCTCCGATATGGAAATCGATGACGAAGAAGGGGAAGAGGATTTGCAAGTCTCCTCGAATCGAAACGGTTAGTCAACCTTGAACCATCGGTCGACCGAATTAAGGGTTGATTGATTTTGAATTATTTCAAATTTGATGACAATTGAGTTTTCTAGTAGAAGATTGAACACCTGCATTTGTTCAAAGTTTTTTTTAAAGGAAGTTAATATTGGATGGCTTTAGAAGATTGTAGTGTTTTAGGAGCAAAGGAAATTTTAAAAAAGGGCAAACAAGAAAAAGACATTAGCATCTAATGTAGAAAAAGGTTTATAGATTTTCCTTCTGTACATTTATTCAACAAATAGACTGGCTTGTGAATTGAACCTATGTACTTTAGTATTTTGAGAAATTTTGCAACCAGTCTTTTGATTTGCAGTTAGCTTTAACACACTGCTGTATAGAGCTGTGACCTTTTAGCATCATCAGAATTGCTCTATCTTTTACTTGTTCCTGCAGTACTGCAATTGAAACAGCACTGCAGGCTCTTGAATTTATTTGCTCTTTCCTTTGGCTGGTGATTAAATGTTTAAGTCTCCAGATTACAATAAAAGAAAAGGTAAAGACTTCGTATTTTATTCAATATTATTCTGCCGATGCCCTTTCGGTTGTTTAATCAATGCTATTTCCCTAAAAAAATATTATTCCATCGTGTGACTGGAAATGTTGGATGTTTCTTGCCATATTGATTGACTTTCTCCTCCATGTAGATGCTACTAACGTTCTGGAGTCTAGGGGGCATGATGGACAGCTCAGATCAGATTCGTTAGGTACTCCTGGAAATTGCGGAACAAGAATACCATTCAAAACCCTTGATTTAGGAGAGGGTAGTGCTAGTTTTAAATTTTATAGTCTTCCAAATGAACTGTTGACAACTCAAAAGGAGGATCGATGCACAAAATATGATAGTTCCAAGTATTCAGTATCTGGAAAACAGCCTGCAAAGGAAAAGGCAATTCAAGAATATACATTTGGTGGAAAAGATGCTCAAGCCATTTTAGAAAGAAAAGCCTTTGAATGCTACAATGATCAGCATGCTGAAGAGGTTGCTGTCAATGAGATTAATTCCATTCCAGTCGGAAAATACTCAGGTGAAGGAGTTCAGAGTGGTCTAGGTTTTGAGGGAAAAAGTAAGCCAATGGTTGTGCAAACAGAGGATGATAAGAGGAGGATAAGATCAAGGTGTGGGGCGACCTATATGCCTTTTATAACATAGAAACTAAGTTTCTTATTATGAATTTTTGCCTTCCTAATACTATGCATCCATTGATTTACTAATCAATATGTTTCACAGGTCTGCTGCTTCTCAGACTAGTGCTGGGAGTCTATCCCCTGGCAATAATAGTGAGAACAAACGCCCTGCACTTATATGTGACTTCTTTTCTAGAGGATGGTGTATAAAAGGAAGCTCATGTAGATTTCTTCACATAAAAGATGAGAAAAATCCTGGACAACAGCCTGAGGAAGGTGTAGCTGTAGCAAATGGGAAAGGAGCTGTTGAGCTTGATCAAGGTAATAAATATTCTGTATTATGGATTATCCAGAATCTTCTCTACATTCTATTTTAATATGAACCTTATGCTTCAGGTTTTAGAAGTGCTGAAAGATCAAAATCTCCTGCTTCCACTGATATTCGGCCTTCGTCAGCTGTAAATAAGACCGGGTATTCTTCTCAGTTCTTTTTTGAAAGAATCTTGCCATTAGAGGATGATGAAAACCAAAGATTGCATCTATTTCATGAAACTAATAAGTTGCCTCCGCTCCATCATAAGGATAAATCTATGGGCACTTCCCCTGCCTCTCGGCGATTTTTTGCATCCATAGATGATGTGGGACCACCTAAGGGTGTAAGACAAAATGGTATAGGTCAGAATTTGCCTGATGATAATTATGCCAAGCTGGCTTCTCTGGGTGATAAAGGTACATCATTGGGCAATGTATATAATGAGAATCAATCTCATTGTGTCTCGACATGCCTAGCACCATTGCCATTATATTATTCTTCAAGTGCATGCTCTCTTGGTGCTCAAAAGATGTTGGACAATGACAGCGAGCGTTATACTTCCAGGTTTTCTTCTTTGCTGCAAGGCTGTTCCCCCTTCTCGAATTCTGAATCTGAAAACCTTCTTGTAAATGGTATTGCCAGGGATCCATTGCCCTTTTCTGAACGTAGAACAAAGTTTTCTTCAGATGACTGGGAACCTTCAGTACCCTTTCAACCATCCTTTTTTGTCACTTCTGGCTTATCATCCCCGCAAAGCCAGTGTGATCCTGTTCGTGATAGCATTGATTTGTCTAATGCAGGAGAGAGGTCTCTTAAATTTTCTTTCTCTAATTCGCGTCCATCACTCTTGAATGTAGCATACCCACAGGCATATGGTGATCCTACATCAGTGGGGCCACTGATCCCTGAACATAATGATGATAAAAGAACTGCATCTCGTCAGAATGGATACCATGAAAATTTGGTCAACGGTAATTGCTACCCATCTGAAAAGGATTCACTAACAACCGACGCAAATGATGGAACTTCTGTAGTTGAGATGCAAAATGCAAATCTAGTGAAAGAAGTGATGTCCTCAGTTGTTTCTCATGTCAAAGACAGTTCAAAGGCCCAAAAAATTGATATAGATCATGATGGCAGGCATCGAAGAGGCGAGACTAGATGCAAAAAAGACTCAGAAGTAGATAGAGTTAGAGAAAAGAATGAAATAGATGTTGAGGTTGAGCACAGGGAAGATGGGGATTTGCGAAAAGAATCAAAAGCAATGAGGCATTTCCATGCTGCTCTTGTAGATTTAATTAAGGAACTGTTGAAACCAACTTGGCGTGAGGGTCATCTCAGTAAAGATGCTCATAATACAATAGTAAAAAAAGCAGTTGACAAAGTTCTTGGCAGCATACAGCCTCATCAGGTTCCAGTTACCTTCGAGTCAGTTGAGCATTATCTTTCTTTATCCCAACCAAAAATAGCAAGACTTGTTGAGGTGAGAGTCTTTGATTTAAGAGTCACCATACTGTGCATGTTCTAGAGAATAAATGCTCTGTTTAGTATTGTATTTTTAATGTAATTCATTCATAAATGTGACATTATTTTTTCTGTTTTGCAGGGATATATGAATAAATACAGAAAATCGTGAGATGTTTGGCAGAATGCTTTTGTATCTTTTGCACATTTTATTAATGGAAGTCTTAACTGAGTGTCATGGAAGTCTGGATTTTTTTTATGAAATGTTTTTGTAAATATTCTCTTTTCCTTTCTTTATTAGCTGTATGCAGAAATAATTTGTACAATGCATGTGTCTTCCTAACAGTTGGTAAGTCTAGGAGAATACTTTATTCTTCTTAGCTTGCATGTTGTGAAATCTGCCAAGGAGTTTAAGCTAAACTATTTTATTAGTACAATGGAACATTTAGTTGCAAGGTTACTTGTATAGCAAGCAACTTTTTTCATGGATATAAGGTAGGAGTCGTTAAAAAGTATAGGCTTTTATCATAGTGCCTTGCATTATTTAAGAAAATTTTAGGTGGGTTGCAATATTTAACTTACGAATTCTATGGTTGTGATATGAATATTGATATTATTGTTTCTGTGCTCCAAGATTATGGATCAAACTGGTATAAAATATGTTGATTTTTTGTGGAGACTTACTCCATTTTGATCATCTCTTTGGCCTGTCTTGCATGTGTTTTACTAATGACATCTGCTTATGGCTGTTCTGCATTATTGTCATACTTGCAGAATTATGGAGTGCCATGCTCGTTTCCTTTTGCTCAGCATTCCTTTTTTTTTCAGTGAATATAGTGGGAATACTTAAGCGGTTGCTTTTTCCTCTTTTTATGCTGGCTCCACCTCCTAATGATTTTGCTATTATATGTTTGTTTAGATTGCAATTTACATGATTATATGCACAGTTTCACTAGCTTTATAACTTTTAGGTTTATGCGATTGCAAGAAAGAACTCTTTTATTTTGCAACTGCAAATTTTATTTTATTAAGGTTTGAAAAGAACTAGATTTGGTCGATGGGCTATTTTATAAAGTAATGTGTCATGGTCTGTTGGAAATCTTCATGTACAACTTAAACCAGTGTCAATAAACATGAATGGTAGCTTCTCATAGGTCTACATGCTAAATATAGAAAAACCATGAACAATGGCATACGGCAACTCTGAGAACTTTGGCTCCAAATCATACATCACAGCCCCTCTGGTTTTCTTTAGAATGCCATACTTTATATCTTTCAGTTGTTTATATTAGCTTCTTGGTGTGCTCCGTGAGAATCTTTCAGGGTCATTATGGTTTTCAATCGGAATCTTGTTACTGCAAACATGCGGTGGTCGTTATGGTTTGTTGTTTTGCCTTAGATTGTGCCGATTTCAGTAAGAATGCTTGTGGAAATACATTGAATATTGTAGTTTATCTTCTCGTGATCTCAATTCTCTTCAGGTTTTGATTTCTGTTCCAGGTTTACCATATACAATCTCCAATCTCTTGGTCATCTTTATTGCTCTGGTATGCTCCGACGCTAGTAGACTTTGGTCCTACTTTATTCTTCGAGTATCTATGTTTGACACTTATTTGGACATGAAAAACCTTAAAAAAAGGAACTTATTATTGCCAAACATATATTCGACAGTTGCACTTGAATTATAGTACAATGTCTAAATCATAATGAAGGAGAGAATTCGACCCAAAATGAAATTAAACAGTGCTAGCACGCGCCGGTGACGTGAGTAGAACCGGCATCTGTGCATCGAGTACAAGTGGGGGCTTTATATATATATATTATGGTGAAAAAATGAGAAGCGACCGTGCATGCTCTGCAGGGTTCTGGTTGTGTTAAGTGTAGCAGCTTACTGCATAGACCAACTCGCTTGTTCAAGAACTTCAGATTCCTCCTATATTTTGGTCAAATTTCATAGAGAATCGTCGTATTATGCATATTTGGGAAATTTAATCCTTTTTTTTATTATGGCTTGATGATTTTTAACTCTCAATTCATTTTTTTTTATATATGGTCTGTAGGTTTTATTTTTTAAATTGGATAATATTTTATTACGGCATATACATTCAGTAAATTAAATGGTCACTTTATTAAATTAGATTACCATATTAATACTATAATAAATAATTAATACTGCAACATAGATATGTATTATTTAAAAGGTTTAAACTAAAAAATACTTAAATTATGCTATTGTTTTGTTTATGTACCTAAGTTATTTTTTGTTAAATTAGGTACTTAATCTATTATATGTAATCATTTTAAGTGCCTCAACTATTTTTTAGTCAAAATAAGTATCCAAATTATCTCTTTTTTGTTTTAAGCCCCTAAAATATTTTTTAATCAAAATAAACACCTAATTTTATATGACGTGTCAATATCTTATTGTTCGAAAAATAATTTTTTGATTGAAAAAATATTAAGATTTAAAATAATTAAATATAATAGCTTAAGTAATTAATTTGGTAAAAATAGTTTAAATAGCTAAAACAATATAGTTTAAATACTTATTCTTTTTATTACCTTTAGCTATTTGTTTTTTTTTGTTGCTCTCTCAATTTTAAAGTTTTTTTTATTAATTCGATTCAACTCGTGTCACACACTGATTTTAGTGGATGAGTTTATCAGTAAAAATTTTCTATATTCACAAAAATTTAAACTCAAGATCTTATTTAAACGATATTAAACTGTTTATTACTTGAATTAATAGCTCGCTCGATCGCTTTAGCTGTTTTTTAAAAGGTAAACAAACACACATTACAAATGCGCCCGAAAAAGGTAACAGAACGCGCAGTTCAGACAAGAACAAAAACTCACTCTTATTTATTTTTTAAATAATAGATCAAATATCAGATTAAATAATAAAAAAATATTTTAACACTAAGAACAAATATGTAAATTAAGATTAATTTATTTTAAAATAAGCATTCACGTTTGCTAGGAAGGAATGAATTGCCAGATTCCGCAGGATAGACACTATCCTACAGTTATTACTTCTAAAGTATATAAAGAAGATTATGATGCCGCAATTTGATCGAGAACAGTAAACAAACAGATGCCGATGTTTCTCCGTCGCAAAAAAAGGGAGATTGTCACCATAGATCATATCAACTTAATTTCGATTTTGGGATAAAATTTAAGAGAAATAAATTAAAGATGATTTTTTAAAAAAATTGCTTATCCGGTATTATGATCGACGAACAAAAAAACAATCAGATGATTTCCGGAAGAGCAGGTTGGTTGAGATCGATGTTGAGAAGCGGACGTGGAGGATTGACGTCGTTGTGGTTCGAATCAACGACGGATGGTGAATCGGAATCGCTTTGTACTCCGTCGTTAAACGAAGTCGCATTAGAATCCCTGTGATCGAATCTCATCAGTTGATACTGTTGCCCTTTCACTAAACCAGGACGAACGAAAGCATCAAGGTAAAAGACATGAGGACTCGCGACAACCGGAAAGGGAACGCCGGCCATTGGCGAAACTTTCTGGAAAGGGAACCTAAAGGCATGAGATCCGAAGCCGGAACCCGCCCCGCGTCCGAGGTTGAGATCTAACGGTGATGAATCGATCACGAGTGCCGGGTCACGACTCGACGACTCCAGGGTGCTACCTTGGCTTGGACTCTGGTTATTGATATTGATTTTATTAACATTATTCAAGTTTTCGCAAGGACTCGGGAAATTAGTCTTAGCCTTAGCGCCGCGAAATTCCCGAGCGGCGGCGTCGTAGGCTCTCGCCGCTTCCTCCGCCGTATCGAACGTTCCAAGCCAAACGCGACTTTTCTTCCCCGGATCTCTGATCTCCGCCGCGTAACGGCCCCACGGACGCTTCCTCACACCTCTAAAATGAACATCCTTTCCGGGACCGTTGACAGCCAACGTTTTATCTCTCGGCGCCATAACGTGACGCTGTGTATGTCTTATTTTTGTTTTGAAGGAAAAAAACGCTGGAAATGGTGTGGGGTTGGGAGAAAAGAGGGAAAGGGAACAAGTGAGCGGTGAGGTGTTTTATGGGGGGAAATAGAAATCGGCGAGGAATTGAAGGGAAATGGGGCAGAGTCAACGAGGGATTTGACTGAGGGGCCGGCTAAGATGAAGAGTGGTGCGCGAGTGATGGATTGAGGGATGGCATGGCAGGTTTGTAAAAGGTAAACTACGCTAACGATCACTGAAATTTAGATAACTTTCTATTTATACCATTAAATTTTAAAAGTTTCAAAATAATCACTAATATTTTTTTATTTGTAACATAATGATCTCACGTTACCTGGACAACGGCAGTATGGTGCGGCAGATTAAGTAGTTCTATAACATAAACCATATGGTAACTTGCACATGTGATTATTTAATTATACACGAAATTTATGATGAATTAGACGATCTGAGTGATTAAATATATATTTGTTGTTTTTAGAAGTATCATGATTAAGCACCAATGACTGTAGGGTATTTAAATGTTCTCTATCAAATGATCGAGAGTCTTCAGAATAAATACCACTACTTGTAATCACTTTAGATTAATAAAAAATTATACAAGAAATTTTAGTATATTTTGTCACATAGTTAAGTGGTTCATCTTTGTTATCTCATATTTCATTAGTTCATGATTTGATCACAGGGCTAAAGGCTCTTAATCTTGTGATCATGAGATCGAGTCCTACGGTGGGCAATTCATAATTCTGACTGCCGGAGATCTTCCACGGAAGCTGCTCTCAATCTGGCATTGGGGGCAGCCTACTACCTTACCTCCCCTCACCCCATTACATATGGGAATAGGGTCAGCTAATTTTTATGAGTATTCATTTTCTTTCCTCTAGAGTTTCCTTCTTCGTAATCTCTAAGTAACATTATGATTAGAATTGGAATTCGTCAAAAAATTATATAAGAATTTTAATCTAATTATTTGTTTTAATTTTATCAATCAAATCATTTAACTATTTAAATGATATCAATCAAATTAAATAATTTAATAAAAAATAAAAAATTGATGATCATATTAAAATTTCTCTGCAGTTAAGTGATCTCATGTGTAGTTTACTATAAATTGTAAGTTTTTGGTATATATATAAAAAAACATTAGTGATTGTTTTGTACTCTTTTTGAAGTTCATCTGTGAAAAGAGAACCCTACCCAAACTTTAGTGACCCATTGACATAGTTTACCCTTCATAAAAATTAGGGAGACCAGCTTACGTGGGAAGTGGATTGTCCCGAGGAAATGCATGATTATATTATTTTTCACGTTATCATTTATCAACGGCTGAATGAAGCAAATAAGGACAAGTGCGCGTGGGGTGGAGTGAGGATAAGAAGTTTGAACAAGTTGTCGGCAGATTCTGG